CAGGAAAAGAAAAGTAGGTGTCTCCCCTGATGTAAAGTGAAACCATGGACACTCTCAATGCCAGAGGGTTCGTCCAGTGCGTTGCCGGCCTTTTTTTACGCTCTTATCTAGATGGTTTTTGTTTTATCTTCGTCCGTATCTATCGATTACTAAAACTAGTAATATTATTATTTTCGCAAATAGTGATGTTGACATGTAACCCGACCCTTAGCGGTGGAATGCGGGGAATGCGTTACATTTTAAATTAACTGTTTTTTTTTACAAAAGGAATTTTATTGTTACACTCGATTTGAGGGCAGTATTTAATTAAAAATAAAATTCGTAAGTAGCTAACGAAGTAATTTAAGGCTTTTGTACTTTTTGTGCGTTTGTTTGTCCGCTAATATCTCGAAAAATAATTGTCTTATCGATATAACTTTTTTTTTTATTTTAATCACACATATTTCAACCTAGGTACGGTGTAAGTTTCATTCAAATCAGTTAATTCGTTTTTGAGATATCCATTAATTTGTAGCAAGTCTAGTATCAAGGTATAGTACGTAGATATAATATTGTTGTATAAAGTGACCACATTCACACTTTAGACCAATATCTATACTAAAAGAGGTAATGTTTGTGAAGTCGTATAGGGTAATCTATTAAAGCGATTCGAAAAATTCTTATATCAATAGAAAGCCACGTTATTTGTGAGTATAATAATATATATGTACCTGAAATTAAAAAGAATGGTGGCACAATAAACAGTCCAACGAAAACGTTTCTTACGAACGCTGCTTTAAAAAATAAAGAGCTTGATAATGCCTACAAGACATGTATATTATAAAATCAAGTGTAACACACAAACTAGTGCACGGATTTTTATACAGTCTTCACGAATATCTAGATTGATTGATGAGGAATGTTTAAGTATATAATTCAGGAATCACGGTTGCGTAACCGGGGTGAATCGAGCGGAGGAATCTCAACCACTGTACTGTAAGAGAAATCCATTTTAAGGTTTTTCCTTTTAAAAATATTTAATAATAAAAATTATTTAATTATTTTATAATAACATATTACATATTAATCTATTATTTTTGATTAAAATGTATTTTAATTCAATTTAGCTCGGCAATATTTTTGTGTCAACAATAATCGTTATATTTCAGTCAATTTACATACAACCATAACTAATTATATATTAAAACCTTCTTCATGAATCACAGTATTACAGGTGCGAACTATATAAAAATCCGTTGTGTAGCTTTCGAGTAAATCGCCATTATATCGACCAGGGGAGTTTAGTCGTTATATTTCAGTCATTTTACATAAAACCATAATTATTTATATATTAAAACCTTCCTTAGGAGTTACACTATCGTTTAATGATAACTGTATAAAATCCGTTCAGTAGTTTTGGAGTAAATTGCATTATGATGCGAAGTGAGTGTTTTAGAAAAATTCGGGTTACGCTGTCGTAGACGTAGAATTATGAAAATCTCCATGCACTTCAATCAGCTCTTTTCGTTGCGTCAGAACTCTTTTTTCTCCTTGATAGAAGAAGTTGTTGCACGAAGTTGGAGCACTTATTTTTTATTAACACAGGAAAGTATCGTAACACCCTGAGGCAAAGGCTGATCTACAGCCCATTATGATATAGAAATCTGAGGCGCAGACCTAAAGGTAGCCTGGTTTTAGTGAATGAATTATTAACTTTATTAGATGACGGAAGATCGGGAATTGAACTGGAAGAATGTGTTTATAAAGAATGGTTTGAGAGAGGTAATGACGATAAAAGCAGTGCTTTCAGCGGCTCTCATCCTTGAAGACATAGGTTCACCTGCACCGATTGACACTTACTCGTACGAAGGTAACCTTAGACGTAGGCACAGACGGCTGATCACCTACTTGCCTATTAAGAAACATATACAGACCTACAAGGTTGTGGAGAGAACATCGTAATACGTAAGAAAGAAGACATCGTGGGGAAACCTTAGACCCTTAGAAGGCTGATCACCTACTACTATACTGGTTGTAGCTGCCCTTCGAAGCCACGAACTTCGTTTCGCCTTATAATGATATTTTTCTTCCTTAGTAGCTACTAGATTTGCTATGACATAGAGATGGTTAGCTTTTCCAGAATACTGGTCTGCCAATTTTCTCCACAAAAACCTTCCTTGGAGTTCAAGGAATAACTAGATACTTGAATTGGTTGAGGTTTTTGCGCTTAGCAACATATTTTGCTTTTTTTTATTTACAAAGAAGTTTTATGCAAATTCTTAGGGGTGTTGATTTTCACAGAATCGAGTTCATAGGGAAGGGGTGTTATATTGAAATTTCTGCGGTGGCATCTCGAATCGGGAATGCGAGTTCGATTCCCGACTTTAATTTACTTTTTTCTTTGGGGTGATGTTATTTGAACTGTGAAAGGGGATAGCGTAGTCGCTTTAAAGTTATATATCTAACAGATTCAATGTGTTAAAAGTGTTATTTCTGTATAAAATTGTAAATAGTAAATAAAAAAATGTTTTTCTGGATTTTTTTAACACAAAATAATATAAAATACTTACCAGTAAAAAGTGGCGAAGAAAGAAAAAGGGACTGATTTTTTGTGTCTTATCTTAGAATACAAATTAATATTTATGATGTAGCGAAAAAATAATTGCTTGTGTATTTCTCATTAAAATCTTTAAATAACATTAATTACTTTCATGTAGCAATAAAAAACAAAACAAAAAATGTTTTTTTTCGTGTTTCTATTAACACTATAAAAACAACACTTTTCATGTACCAAAAAAAAATTTTTTTTTTATTTTTTTTAATATGATAGGGGGGCAAACGAGCTTGCGGGACGACCAAAAAGGGCAGTCTACGCAGCCCGTAGACACCCACTTTTAGTGGGTGCGTTGCCGGCCTTTGAGGGAGGAGTGCATACCTAATATGCATAATAACATTAATTTAACACTTCATGAAGCCAAACAGGACTGTTGTACATTTTTAATCCAACACAAAATAAAACAAATATTCCAGTCTGCAATTTCGTTTATTTAGGACCAAGAAACGCTACACTTCTTCGGCTATATTATTCAACCTATCCTATATATTTTGTACATCAAATCAATAATACATCCGAAAAATATCTAACACTAAATTGCACAATAAATAACTTAACATATTTACATTTTAATACAATTCCAGTGGGATTGAAAATCGCGCTCGTAACCAAATACGAACAACAATACACCATTAAAAAAACCAGGCTCTCTTAGGTTCTCTAACTTGTATTGTAGTATTGCTAACATTCGAATGCAATGGATTTTACTAAGGCCTTCAACGCAGTAACACATCGTGTGAAACACATAAATCTAAATCTACTGTTGTATACTCTTCGTAATGATTTACTTATTGATTATTATGCATACATAGATAGATAGGTAATCAAATTCAATTTTGGATATCTATGGTGTATGAAGTCGGATTGGATTGATTAACATTCTATACGAGCGCTTTTAAGAAGAGAGCGATGTCGTCGTCTGTTTAACAGAAAGAAGTTAGGTTCGCGTTCGAAGGAATGTCTTTCGACCTAAAGAGAGGATCCTCCACCAGACTAACCAGTGACTGGCTTTCGTTCTGTTGGTCTGGGGGCCAGGTTCGGACAGGCTCGTCCGATCATGTTAACGACGACCGACTGACGAGGTCAGTTTTTGGATAGCAAACTGGCTCGAAATACACATCGTACTGATTGTGGCGGCATGTGGTACTGCTCTTTCTCCAAATTTTAGAGAGGATCCTTTACTAGTGTAACCACTTTTTTTTGTAAGGAATGTCGCTGCTGGCCTTTACAGCTGTTTTGGCGAGCGTAGCTCAGCCTGAATGGGCGTTTTCCCGCGACTAGCGCAAGGGCGTCTCCTGTGAGACTCGAACCTCGGCTTGGGCTGTCACGGGTCATAATCGCCTGAAGGGCAGGACGGAAGCCCACTGGAGTGAGCGAAGTACGAAGTAAAGGTCCTCCCCGGTGAGTGTAAGTAACCACTGATTAGAATCTTGACATTTACATATATATGCGAAATACTTTGATAGCGCGTTCCAGGGTATGACATTATCGTACTGATAGCCACATGAGGAAGGAAGGGGCTGCTACTTCCGACTTAAAGAGAGGATCTTCGACCAGTTTAACCAATTTTTCCACTTCTAACCGTCGACAGAGAAGTGGCGAGTCGAGCAAGTTCGGCAGGGTCAGTAATAACTTCGGTATCTCCAAATTGAAGTGTTTAAACTTTCATACATAGACGACGACATGAATATTTTAGTTTCAAACTAAACGTTTCTAATTTACGAGTAGAATGTAAGACGTTACTATTTCGTTTGCTTGTGATTGGTCGATCTCTAGTTCAATACATAGTCCACTGTCTGTGCTACCCGAAAACATTCGGTTTGCAATACTTCAGTGGGCAGCTGGATCTACAGGGGTGGTTCGCGGCGAAAACTGCTTTGACGTCGAGATGATACAGGTGGAATTAAAAAATGCCTTGACGACCGATAATGAAACTATGTTCTTTTGGTGCCCCTCAATGACTGGACCGTCAGTCTCGTTATGCTTTCGTGCCGTCTCGAAGCCATGATTCTTCTGCCAACACGCCGTTACTACTAATTGAAGGAGGTAGTAGCGGTTACGTCACCAATCACAATCAAAGAAAACTCTCTATTATCTATCTCTTCTTTCTATTGATCTATCATCAATGCGTATTCACATTTAAAAGCCAATAAGTGTATTACATCGAATTTATTCTAGAATACTTGACTTAATACTTAATCAGAGTCGATTAATTCAAACCTTAATTCACATGCCTCAACAGGCATTTCGGAGCTACATTTAGTAGACTTTGAGCTGAAATCAGCAGGATTCCAATATTTTGTATGAATATTACAAAGTTTAGGAACGTAACATCTTTAGTAACTCTGAGTACACGAGTATAACTAATTTCTGTCCTTTCATCAAAGAATTCACAAAACACTTCTCTTCACTGTCGGGCCTGTTCTCTTTCTCTTGCCTTCATTTCCAGTTCCTCTTCCTCCTTCGTCAACGGTATCGTACTGTGGTTGTACAGCCCTTGTGCCATGAGCTGCAGAGCCAGAGGGTTGCGATGCCCTGAAGCCTTCTTGATTTTGGCTCGTTTGTTCTGGAACCAGATCTTGATTTGGGCCTCTGCCAGGCCCAGTTCAGCAGCCAGCGCCTGGCGTCGACGCTCAGTCAGGTACCGGTTTTCAGCGAACTCATGCTGTAACAATGGTATTGAATTAGATTATCAGTCATATTATTGATATTCATCCATAATTATATAATTGCGAGAAAATCCATGATAGGCTGGTTTCCATAAGGAACAGTATACCATGTGAATACTATGGAAATTATCAACATACACTCCACTAGCTACTTCTCAAATTAAGAACGTAGAGACAGAAGAGTGAACTCTCCTTTTCACTCTTTTTGGTCACAAAGTTTTTAGTTTTACAACATATTTGTGAGGGGCTTATCCTCATTACATCTTAAAGAAAAAAAATCAATTATTATATGAATGGAGTCCAAATCAAGTGGAATGGGTATCTACTGGTCATAGAACAAATGATGGCAGGCATTTTCGATAAGAGAACCAACATGATTCAGTCTTGCGGCACTAAAGGCTCATCATCTATTAGTAAAATTATCAGGAAACAGACACAGGAATCTGACACTTCCATCGCTGATGTATAAATCTAATGCCAATTAAGGGTCTGACCTTTAGTCTAGCCAACTGAGGACCAGAGAAGGCTGTCCTGGGTCTCTTTTCATCATTATTGGTATCTCCAGGCGGCTTCTTCGGCTTTCTCGTCCGAGGGCCTGTAAAAGAATAATATCAAATAATAATAAACCCTTATACATGACAGAAATCTGATGCGTTTAAAACAATTTAAAAAAAGCAGTTTTAATGTTACATCTAAAATAAAATAAATCAGTGGCGCTACAACCTTTTTAGGTCTGGGCCTGAGACTTGCGTATCTGTTTCATGATTTGTCAGTCTAATACTTAATCACCTTCTTGTGCCTGACACACGCCGTTGATTTTTTAGGTCGAAGTTTAGGCAACATCTAATCAAACAGAAGTCGTGGAATTAAGTATGTGTGGTGTATGTGCGTACAATCACTACAATACACAAGTACTCAAGAGTGTGCCGGAGAGTTGTTGTAAGTGCACTGTGTCTATGTTAGTTTTAGGTACATCAAAGCAGTTTTTATGGTTTTAACTAAATGTTACTCTTGAATGTGTCCTTCATGTTTTTCATTACGTTCTGTGAATGTCTATAGATTGTAAGTGACTGCAATTGGACCGCTGTTGTTGACTTCAAAACTGAAGAATTACGGAGCATGGTTTCTGATTGATTCAGTTTTATTCGTATCGTTTTATGTTAGCACAAAACACAAACTCATGAGCTGACAGGTCTCTTAATTAAGTCCTTTCTGACCATGGGCCAATGCCAAACTAGGACCATTGAACCCTACATCTTACTTCAGAAATACCTCAACTGGCAGCTGGTTCCCGGTTTTGTTTGTTCACCGCACTCACTATCTTGCAAATAATATCGAATTCTAACGATTGAAACAAAAACTGTATAATGCCATCCAGTGCCACAGTTTTGATTTTATACAAATCGCTTATAGTCTCAATGTCCTTGTTCAATCGTTTGACAGGTCGTTTTACTCAGCGTTGAGGGATGTCAACGTGAAACGATTGGACGCTTCGTTCGATTGGGATTGGCTGTGTCCTAGTTGACACCTGACTTGCTACGTGATGATCCGTTTTGCCATCACTCAAAACGTGGAAGGCGTATTCAAATGTGACTACGTATTCACTCATTATGAATTGTCCTGTTTATTTTCTGAATCTCTAACGCCTAGGGTGTCTCATCATGGCTTTTTGGTGATGGTAGAGCAGTGGATAGTAGACACTAGGTATATACTTTAATTGATGTTTTCATACTTCTGTCCCTTGGATGTTTGTGTTAAAGGCCTTGCTAAAGACAGAAATTTAGAAACTCCGCCACTCCATGCTAGGTCCTTAAGGAAGAAAATACTTGGTGTCACCGTCATTTTCTCTTTTTCTAAGCTGTTTCTGATGGAAATTCATGAAAACCCCTTACTAACATTCAAACAGCACACGATGATGACCCCACCAATCGGACGATGCAATATCTTAACCAATTCATTAAATTTAGGTTAAAATTGGTCAAAATATTGCACCGACCGCCTGGCCGGTCGCAGTCACCTGTAAGGATTATCCAGAAATGTCATTTATGCACCATTTTACAAAGTGCTGAGTGTACAGCTGATCTGATGTCTGGTCTTCCACAGCCCTCTTTTCTTTACCTATAGATCGGATCTTGTAGAACAGGGGGAAGACGGGCAGGAGGCTCACCATGGACAGTCTCTATGCAGGGCTCATGTGTGCATTTCCGGTTTTAAGGATTGGTACGCTCTTTTAAAAAAGGAGTAGGGTCTTAAAAGGCTGCTAAGCGCAAAACTGGAGACCAATTGTAGTAATTTATTTATTCCTTGAACTCTGAGTTAGGTTTTTGTTGAGACAAATTGCGCGGAAGAACCTATAAATCAGTTGTTAATTCGGAAAAGCGAACAGTCTACTAAGGAAGCCAAAAACCATATTAAGGCGAAACGAATTAGTAATTAATATATTGTGTTTGGGCTAAATCCTTCTTTGACTGACACCGATTTGACAATTGTCAATTTTGACTTTGACACACCGGAAATGGAAGGTGTTGCGGCGTAATTGCACACTGATATCGGACTTTTATTTAACAATTATTAATCCAGTGCCTCCGCGCACCACGTGCGCGGTGGGCTGATGACTTTAAAAAAGCCACTGGTCCTCTGTGGCAAAGACTTGCCAGGGATAGGAAGCACTGGAAAAACAAAACCATCTTAAAGAACTTTTTTTATATACATTTATATTTTGTAAAGTTTACTCTTGTATTAGTAGAATAAAGTCTTTGAATTTGAATCCAGTGCCTGGAGTAGAACACATTTAGGATTCCTTTTTTTAATTATACTTCTTTAGGCGCGTTATGAAAAATTTATGAGAGTGAAATTTTACGATGCGCGCGCACCTGTGACACAAAATTGGGAGTGTGATTATAGCGTGCGCGAGCGAGATAGGAATAAGACAATCTACAAGTAAAAAGAAATAGAATATGCGTGAAGTTCGTATGCCAAGAATTTTGAATGACCATAATGACATTTGTCATTTACCTTTTAAACAAATAAAGGAGTTTTGATTATTTTTTTCAAAGAAATTTATTAATTTTATATTGTGCAATACTGCCAAAGCAACAACATACTTCTTAGTGTTTGGTAGAGATGTTCTAAATATATAATAATATATAATTTTAACTAAATATAATTTATGTTACACTTAATGTAAGAGAATAATAATAAATAATTACATATTTATTTAATTTTTCAAATGTAAACTGAACTTAATTGACTATAATGACTCCTTTTCCAGTCTTTGATTATTTAATTGTAATTAATTATTTGCATGCAATCAAAAACTATTTTTAATAATGCCAAAGAAGTATAACTTCTTACGCGCGTACATAAGTACACGCACCCTTTTTTTTTACTATACTGACACGCGATAGGCCTACCAGCGCATATTATTTTACCACGGGAAGGGAGCGACCTGGATACAGCTTCCGAATACTCGCACACATTGTACTGTGCTGAAATGACATTTCTGGATAAGAGCACATGCACAATAACGATAAAAATTAAACTTTCATTCATATTTCTACAACGAAAACAGGTAAAAAATAGTATTGTTTTTGATTAACATAACTTTTATTCATTTAATAAAACACTATTTTGACCGTGACCACGCACGCTGTAAAGCACGCGAAACGTCGGATAAATTTAAAATTATGTTAAATAGTTGTAAATTTATAATAATACATAACTTCAATCCGGTCAAAATAGTGTTTTATTAAAAGGTAAAAAATATCGTAAATTGTTCAAAACAGGACATTATTATAAATTGATGAACAAAATCATAAAATATTGATATGTTTTGAATGATTTAGGCACTTTTTAACCTGTTTTAAACATTTGGGGTAGTAGTAGTAGCTTTAGTTAGTCATAATCTCACCATATAGTCCATACTTACTTCGACCTGAAACAAAAAGAAAACACATATTAAAACACACACAATTGTAACATAGAAAAGTCTAACGAAATTTATTTTAAGCAGACTGAACGGCCGATGATAAAGATGACATTAAAGTATCACATTCGCTAATTAAATAAGTTGCCGCCTGGTAGATGTACCGATGACCCCAGAACTGGTGCTTTCCTCAACTGCTCTTTAAATTTGTTTTGCTTTTCTATTACTTAAATTAAATAAGCAACTATTCTTCATTAGCTGAAAATTATATTGGTGAAAACTGTATAAAAATCCGTGCAGTGGTTTTTGAGTTTCACTTGTTTGTATAATAGATGTCTTGTAGGCATTATCAAGCTCCTACTTCTCTAGAACCCATATTAAGGCAGCGTTCGTAAGAAAAGTTTTTGACTGTTTTTTCTACCACGAATCTTTTTATTTTCGGGTCTATATATATTTTATTCTACTAACAAATAACGTGACTTTGTATTAGTGAATGAATTTTCGAAATCGCTTCAGTAGATTACCCTTCTCAATCTCACAAACTTGTTAATATTAGTATAAACAAAATGATAACCACAAAACTATCACATAAAATGCGGTTTTTATTCATGCGTTTAGTTCAGCGGTTTGATTTATCTTTGGACTTCCATAAACACTTGTCAACATCAAATCCTACTTCCGTTAAAAAGTCTCTTTCTCTGGCTTTACTCTGGCATTTGACAGTTTAATATATCTCTTATGGTAAATAACGTGGCTTTCTATTGGTAAAAGTAGGTATTTTCCAAATCGGTTTAGTGAATCCAAACTACAAGATAAACTTACTTATATTATTAGATAGAGTACTAATATCGCTAGATGTAGGTATTAATAAAAACAATGGTGTATAACAAGGACTTATATTCAGACCAATTTTTTTAATAAAACTCAGTCCAACTGTTTCGAAGGTAACACTATTAAGTTGAAAGGGGGTATTTAGGGTTAAATTGATTAGTAAAATTAATGGTGTATGACCTACAGGTCCTTGTTATACACTTTATAACCTATAATTTAGACCTAATTTTATAGAAAGTCGGCACAGTTGGTTCGCTTCAATTTAGCTGAAGGGTGGGATTTAGAGTTATAAGTACGTATTAATTAAAATGATGGCGTATAACAAGGACCTAAATTCAGACCAAATTTTTTTAAACCAGCTGATTCAAATGTAACACAACAATTTTTATTAGGATATACAGGGTGGCCAAAAAGTCGTGGATCAAACGCAAATAGGGGATAGATGAGGTCATCAGCGGCAAAAAATTGTTCTACGGGAGGGGTCTAAGGTCAACCCCTGCAGAGTTATGATTTATTTTGGTTTTTATATGAAAATTGACTTTTTTTACTAATTCTTATTAAAATTCGAAAAAATCTACATCCTGTATCTTTTTCATAATATCCGCTAGATTGGTACTGATGAATTCTTGCGTTAGACATACTATTTATAGTTGTTTATTGAGTGTATTGAAGATAATATTAAGTTATACGATATAATTTTTTTTCAAATCAAAACTTTTTGTTTATTTCGGACCCCACTGTAAAAAAAAATTACTCTACCGAAAAGTGACCCTATATTACAAGTTTTTGCGCATTTAATATGGATTCTGAAAAGGTATTACACATGGCCATAAGTCGCTCTAATATCTTTCTAGGAGGAAAAAACAACAACGATTCGGACTTATGATAGATTATTTACCTACCTGTGACCAGTACTGTGTGAATCGGACTAGATTCAAAGAATTGGACAGATGGCTGGAGGAATACTTAGGTATTTGGTTAGGCGGTACAGATTAAGTATTATGGTCAGAGTCAGGAATTTTGAGCATATTTTATTGTAAAATATTTTGTTTCCTACAAACAACCATTGAGAAATAATTGTTTTAATACAATTATTATTTCACAATCGTTGTTTGTAATTCTTCCTAAAAAGATATAAGAGCGACTCATGGCCACGTGTAATACCTTTTCAGAATCCCTATTAAATGCGCCAAAACTTGTAGTACAGGGACACTTTTCGGTGGAGTGATTTTTTTTCACAGTGGGGTCCAAAGTAAAGAAAAATTTATGACTTGAAAAAATGTTATATCGTATCACTTAATATTATCTTGAATACACTCAATAAACAACTATAAATAGTATGTCTAACGCAAGAACTCATCAGTACCAATCTAGTGGATATTATGAGAAAGATACAGGATGTAGATATTTTCGAATTTTAAGAAGAATTAGTAAAAAAAAGTCAATTTTCATATAAAAACCAAAATAAATCATAACTCTGCAGGGGTTGACCTTAGACCCCTCCCGTAGAACAATTTTTTGCCGCTGATGACCTCATCTATCCCCTATTTGCGTTTGATCCACGACTTTTTGGCCACCCTGTATAGCTATAAACATATAATAAAAATTAATTCGACTCAAGGCGGCAAATGAAAGCGAATTCCATTTGATTTTATCTAAACGTCTTAATTATAAAGTGGGTGGTCTGACTTAAAAAACTAGTGCTCACGATACGCAAAGCAGGGGCAAAAGTGTTCTGAAATGATATATACCATAAACAATAGACTTGTGTTAGTACAGGAGCAGGGTTGGCTTAGTAGGCTTCATCGTGCGACTCTAATCCCTGTGGTTCGATCCCCGGCTGTGCACCAGTGGACTTCTATGCGCGCATTTAAAATTCGCTCATAGGAAAACATCGTGAGGAAACCGGTTTGCTTTAGACCCGATACGACGGCGTGTGTCAGGCACAGGCTGATCACTTGCCTATAAGTTTGACAAATGATCATGAAACAAATACAGAAATCTGAAGCAAGATCTATAAATTGTTTTTGTGTTAGTATTGATTCACCGTAGACAATCTATAACGCTTTGAAGCCAGAAAAAGCGTTACAAACTTCAGGTTTTTTTATAAGATACCCATAAAAGGCTGTCACCACATAGACACCCATTTCAGTGGGTCCCGTTGAAGGAGTAAGGGCCTTTTTAAAATAATTTGAGGTTGTATCACCCAAGGAAGACAACTAGAGCCGATTTTATTACGTGTTTTCGTAATAGGCAAATAGGTTTTCTGACGATGTAACTAAACAAAGATTGCCACCTATACTTCGCAACGACAGCGGCATTAACGGTGGCAGTGCGATCTATTTCTGCTGCCCTATTGTTAAATACCAGTTAAAAACATACAGTTAAATATTCAATTAACTAATTAGGTTCACCTGGTGTTTAACAGGAAACGGCCTCCTTTGATATTAATTAAATTTAATTTATGTATGAATTTGTTCATGGGCGAGCCAGCACCTAAAGTTTAGCTTGGAGATGCTCTCATGCTTCAAGCGTTGGTTTCGTGTGTGTCGTCTAGGTTATTTGAAGTTATACTTCTTTTGGCAAGTTAGGGAAAACGTCAAACGTCGGTAAAACAGTCTGGGCCGCTAGTTGGCGCTTGCTCTGTTTTATCGATAAGTTGCATTGTCTGTCATGGCGTAGTGTTTTTCAGTCGTGTTTATTTAAACCAAAATAATGATTTCTATACGAGAAAACCCGTTTCAATGTGATAAAAAACATAGTGTTTATTATAAAATATCATACATATTATATCGTTTCGATTGGAAGTGACCATTAAAATGGACAAGAAAAGTGCAATAGGAAGAGGAAAACGTCCCTCTAAAGTGCTCGAAGAAAATTATTACGCGATCTGGTCTAACTAAAGACTTAGTAACTTAGGTTTATTTAAATAAAAAGGATATTTAAGCTCAAGTGTCTCTACTACGGGGAAGACACTCTTCTGTTCTGCTTCTTCGTTTACCACTTTGCACCTAAGACTAACGTGCACCAACCAGTGCCGTAACTATATCATCTGGGGCCCGTGGCAAAGACTTTTGATGGGGCCCTATCAGTAAAAATCGTCACGTTGCACTCAGTTAAATTTTAATAAACATCGAGATTTTCAGCGTACTCAACAAGTTGTATATGCCTCACTAATGGCCATAGGCGTCCTCTCTTTGGCGAGAGGGAATGGTCTGTAGTCCTCACGCTAGCCCAATGCGTATTGGAGACTTCACATTCAGCCATATAACGTAATATCTCTTGGGCAGGGGCTCTCTTGGGTCGGGGGCCCGTGGCATTTTGCCAGCCCTGTCACCCTATTGTAACGCCACTGGCACAGATTTAGTGTTGGTTTTGTGATAGTTTTGTCATCAATATTTTCACTAGGCCCAGGTCAAGTTATTGACCTCGACATGGTGGATACTCTGAAGTCCTCTACATTAAGGTCCTGCTGGAGCTGGAAGTACCAGGGAGTCCTGAGGACTTTGTTTTTGAATCGCGCCCTGTAGATACCAGGTTTTTGTGTATATCCTATTGATAAATAAAAATGTTTCTGGCCCAATTCAAGTTAGTTCCCTGAGAGAGGTTTTTGTGGAAAGAAATTGCATGGAAGACTAGGGTTTATTCCGGAAGCGAAAGGTCTCTGTGGGGTGGCTAGCAAACCTAAGGTGTCAGAAATCATATTAAAGCGAAACGAAGTTCGCATTTGGTTAACAATCCCTG